GGGGGGGGGGGGGGGGGAATGAATTAGCCATTTAGTTTAAATAAATCCTTTTTTAAGGATATAGAGATTTTGACTGGAAAACAATCAAAATTGAAGATTAAAAAACTCAAAACTGTATTTTAAAACATAAATCACTGTTATGGTTTACTTGTTTGACAAATATCTATTTTGTTCCAAAACGTCCAAGTAACAATGCTTTTTTATTTGCACTTTTCTCTCTGCAGTTCTGTGCGCAAAGAACCTGGTGAAGAAAGACTTCTTCCGTAAGTACCCGACCTTCATAAATACTGAGAATGTTTGTCTGAAAACGAGTGAACTGCGGGAGCGCTCTATTCCTGTCGGCGTGTTTCAGCAGAGGCTTATCTGTTAAAAGTGTGCAGAGAGAGATAAGTGCTCTTCCCCCACGAGACACCAGAAATGTGGGTCAGTTCGGGGAGACCAAGCAACCGCTGGTTGACACATGTATACTCATCTCGGTTTCTCTGCCTTCACTGTCTCTACCCTGACGAACACAAACAACCAAGCCCACATCTGAGTCGCCAATCAGATATCAAAGAGAGAAACAGACAGTGTTGGGAGCTGGGAAGAGAGACCGCTACAAGGCAAGACTGATGAAAAGCAGGAGAAACTCAAAAAGAGAGTAGCAAAAAATGTGATGCTGGCAGAGGGATGAGGTTTAGCGGAGTGTATGTGGTTAAATTAAGACTACAATCCCTCTGCTCTTATTTGTAAACCTGCATGCATATCTTTGCCTTCCTGCTCAGCCTGCAATTGAATTGATGAAGACAAACAATATAAAAATATTTTTATAAATAAATAAATAAAAGTGAGAGGAAAAACTATGTTTGGGGAAAATGTGTTTGTTAGGGATAAACTAATATTTATAATGCTGGCCCGTGCTGATGTACTGATAATTAATTTTTCTTCTGTAATAGCTGATACATGACTAATATTAGATCCGTTTAGATTAGATTACAACTAGATTTAATTTGTCTCATAAAAAATAAAATGGCACATACTAAGTTAAAAAGTGGTTTTGTTTTTGTCATTGTAAACTTATTTGATGCTCAAATGAATTAAAGTGTCACAATATTGTAATGTAAGTTGTGAAATCTAGATATCTGCTCATTTTGAAATATCTTCAATGCTAACCAATATTTTCTAAAGCATCAATACTAAAGCTTCGATCTAGAATTTTGCATGTGCAATCAAACCAATTCAGTTATTTTTATAAATGCTAATATTAAATGACCAACAGTGTTAATGCCGGGAAAAATACTTTCTAGAACTAATGAGAAAAGTAATCCTGTTTTGTCTACGAATACACCCATTAATTACATTTGATTTAATTTCTTTCTTTGAAATTTTACCAGAAAAGATTTTAGAATTTTTATGTTAATTAAAAAAATCTTGTATAACTCTTGTATTGTTGCAACTCAGTTTTTGCCATGAAGATAGCCTTAGATGCTGACATGGCAATAAAAATAACTACTACTACTACTACTCTTTCATTGTAATCAAAAATAATTCAGAACTATCATTTAAAAACCATCAAATGTAGCAATAAAAAAATAATACAATAAAAATAAAAATATTTTAAAGCATTTTATCATTAGGTTGTAACATAAAATGTGTAACAACAAATGAAAGGACCTTAATACTTTCCGAATGCACAGTAAATAGTATATATTATTGTGTGGGAGTAACACAGTAATCTAACAAATTACTTGATAGTCACCATTTCCAGTATAAGTCCATCTGTAGTAATTTGAGTTTTATTATTTTTAGACTCCTCTGCAACATGTGCTGGTTTCAAATATATTTCAAACCACATTATGAACGGAATGATTTTGTATTCAATGCTGTCTTCGATTTCTGCTCAGAAGTCTCAGTAAACGACATTTGTGTATTTTGCAGGACTGCCAGACCCCTTCGCTAAGGTGGTGGTGGACGGTTCAGGGCAGTGCCACTCAACAGACACAGTGAGGAACACGCTGGACCCCAAATGGAACCAGCACTATGACCTGTAAGAGCTCTTCCTGGTCTGATTGCTTTCAAACACACAGCCAGTGGCACACCTTGATTCCCTTTGCACTGATCCCAGCTCAGTTTAAACCTGAGACAGTAATGTGTAGATACCACAATCCAGAAGACCACCACTCAGAAGCAGATCTTATTTCGAAGCACATGGTTATCTGTTGAGTTGAGTCTTAGAGACTTGGCTTTCTGCGCTGTAGTTCTTTTCTGTAGGAGCTTAAGAGTGTCAGACTGTATCATTAGACGCTTATATGTGGGTTCATTTTGGCCGTTTTTCTGCGTGAGTCACCCAGAGCGATTGAGCCTGTTTTTGACATCACATTTAAGTGTGCTTATGGATTGTGGTTCACTTGATACTGGGTTTAAAACAAAACAAAACAAAAGAAAGAAAGAAAACTAGCAAATCTTCCATAATATGGAATATTCAAGCATTAAATAATATTCTGCCATTATTTTATTGCCATTGTGTTCTTTCAGATCTGTATATTGTTTTTTTCTGTGAAAAAAGGGATATTTTGGAAAATGTTTTTCCATACAAAAAAAATGGATGCTGATTTTATTTTATTTTACTTAATTTTTTCTTTTCAGCCAAGCAAAATGAAAGAAAAAACACACTATAGAAGTTGTTCATATGAGTTGTGTAATGTATTTCAAGTCTTCTGAAGCTATACGTTAGCTTACTGTAAGAAAAAAACTAAACAAAATTAAATTTATTATTCACTTCATTCTCCCCTCAACCTCCAATCTCTTTCTGCATATTATGCATGTAACACTCGGGAACCAATGTCGCTCTGCATTACTGACATGCAAACCAAGCATGACTCGTCACACAGTATATTTGAATTTACGCAGTTGAGATTTGAATGCTGCGATGGTGGGGAAAATCGCCAACAAACATTGTTTGTCGACCACTTTTTTCCTTGATTAAGCTCAACAATAAAATAACCAATTTATTGTATGGAAAACTTTTTTTTTCAAAATATCTTTCATTTCCATTCAAAATGTTGTGTTCATCAAAAGAAAGAAAATCATGAATGGCTTGACGGTGTGTAAATAATGATAAAATTAAAATTCGGGGGTGAACTAACTAGGGATGTTCATTTTAACCAGTTAACCGTTAAAGGTGGGGTAAGCGATTTTTCAAAAACGCTTTAGAAAACTGATTCGGGCCGAATAGCAAAACAGACTTGTAGCCAATCAGCAGTAAGGGGCGTGTCTACTCATGATGTGGAGGAGAGCGTGTTCAGTCCGAGCCGAGCGAGAGAAAGGAAACTGAAACCAACGTTGGGTCTCTCATGCCACACAAAATCAAATGTTTCTGTATTCGCGATGTACTTGAATGCCAAATATTTATTTATTATGTAGCCTACTTCACTCGCGTTCCAATATCCACGTAAAACTAAATGTGTTTGACATAACATCACGGCGGTACGGTGATAACACTTAACGGCACAGATTTTACTACATATTTAAACTGAGCAGTGTTTTTTTTCTATGTTTGACTGACTGTATTTTATTATGATAATGAACTGGCTGCATTGCTACCTTGACACTGTGTGCGCGCATGCGGAGCCGGCGCAATCACTTGAATTTTTTCCTTCTAACAGTGGAAGCAACTACTCCTTTTAGTCATAAAGATAATCGGAAACTTGTAGCCAATCAGCAGTAAGGGGCGTGTCTACTCATGATGTGGAGGAGAGCGTGTTCAGTCCGAGCCGAGCGAGAGAAAGATAGAGATGGCAGATAAAAAACAAAAGAGATTTCAAATGTCAACATTGGCTACCAGAAATCGCTTACCCCACCTTTAACCGACCGTAAGAATTTTGACCGATTAATACAATCAGTTAAGCGGTTTTAAAAGTCATTTATTTATTTTTTTCTCAGTAATTTATCAAAATATTTTAAAAGGTTTGCTGCGTGGTTAAAATACGCTATGCGTATAAAAATGTTTTTGTTTTTTAGAGAAAAAAAACCATAAGTTATTATTTCATTCAGAAATAGGCCTTTTGTGTCAATACGTCATGAATAGAACGCAGCAGCAGTTTTCTGTCGGGGATTTGTCGTGTCGTGCCGTGCCGCATCCAGTCTAGACCATAGATATGTATATATATCTATGGTGTAGACAGCATTGCTGATTATGAGTTCTATGGTATTTTGTGTCGCGCCACTCGCGTCCGGTGTAGACACGGTGTAACATTGGTTTTGCTTTGTTTCACAGGACTAATCGTTGCCTGGGTTGTGTACGTATGTGTGGGGCGAGACCCTTTTGGGGTAGAGGCGTGTTTGTTTTGGTGATTTCAAATGTCAACATTGG